TGATATTACATATATAGGTACTACATGTGGACCTCTCTCAGATTTGTTCATTTTGTAATGATATCTTTAATTCTCTAATTTTGGTGAATATTTTTGTCATTTTCGGTAAAAAGTGATATTTTCGACTTCTTGTTAAAAACCGCAAGTCCAATTGCTTTGATACTACATATATAGGTACTACATGTGGACCTCTCTCAGATTTGTTCATTTCGTGATGATATCTTCAATTCTCTAATTTTGGTGAATATTTTTGTAATTTTTGGTAAAAAGTGATATTTTCGACTTCTTGTTAAAAACCAAAAGTTCAATTGCTTTGATATTACATATATAGGTACTACATGTGGACCTCTCTCAGATTTGTTTGTTTTGTGATGATATCTTCAATTCTCTATTTATTTTGGTGAATATTTTTGTAATTTTTGGTAAAAAGTGATATTTTCGACTTCTTGTTAAAAACTGTAAGTCCGATTGCTTTGATACTATTCATATTGTTCATTTTCTAATGATGTCTTCAGTTCTTTAATTGAAATGTGCATTGCTAACAGCGGAGCTATCTCAGCCGATAGGCTGCTTGTTTTATAGACTTGCTGAATGTTATGATTCTGAAAAAAAAAATCTTAAAAAATAAATGTAAATCAGCGGTGATTGCGCTGCCCTGAAGGCAGGAAGTGGAATACCTATTTTGCTCTCGCAGCTATTTCGCGTTCACCCCTTGTTTTACACAATTAACAATTATATTTAAAGAATTGTTGTAAGCATCCCGACAGATTGCAAGAAAGTCAACTGTTAATACAACCACAGTTAACAAATAGAAAATTGTTTTTTGTTATTTTTTGTATGACCTCAACTTCTTTATTGTGTCAAGGGGGGTGTTTGCCCAGGCATGGGCTCTTACCCGGATAAGTACGGTACATTCTTATGCTCCAAAAGTAACTTTTTCACCACCAGACTTTCTTACTTTCTGTACTTTTTTTCTTATATACTTCATTATTTCTGGAAATGAACCCTAAATTTGAAGCCAACACACATAATTTGAGTCAATTGTCAGTTTCAACAAATGTGGCAACTTTAAACGGACTATTTTGTAAATTTGTGATGGAAGAGGCAACAGGTGGTGAAAAGGTTAAGAGTTGAATTCTTATGATCACAGACATCTTTGCAAAGTTAACCAGCTCGGTTGTCGATCAGCATCACTACTGTAAACGAAAATTTTGGTGCAAGTTTTACTTTGGTCATATGAAGCATAGTGCCTATGATTTTAGCACAATTTTGTCTTCATGAATGAAATCAAATTGTAAAAATTTCTAGAATTGAACAATTAAGCGAGAACAGTTTCTTGTTCGTAATTGTTTCATAAAAGAACCATTGAATCTGTGTTTAATTAAAATCTTAATTTTGTTGCAGCTGCCCAAATTGAAAGAACGAAGGTTGGTTGTGTTGACTTAGAAACTCCTGATTCTATTTTATGCAACACCAATCTAAGGGTAAGTCTAATCTATGTGTGTGTATATGTTGTACTTACTGTGAATATAAATATTATATTTATAAATTAATTAAATCAAATTATAAATTTTCATGAGTAATAGCAATCAGTTGAGTACTGTTTTTTTAAGGGATGTAGTGTATTACTGAGGGTGTCTATTTGTGGCTGATTTGTCATTTCTCTGTTTTCAGGCTCTCATCAACAAACATGTGTTTAACAGTCTCCCAGCTATTTGTCAGCATTCGTTATTAAAGCTCTTGCCATCTGTTGATAGAATTGTAGGATCTGACAACGCATGGAGGTAATGTACCACTTTCGTTTTGTCACCTCTAATACAAATTGCATCTGTTGTATACTGCATTTTTAAAATACCATTTATTGTGATCATAGAAACACCTGTCATTTACGTAAGCACATGCACTATTAACAGAGAAAATTTGGTAGTCTCTTGTCAAATCACTTACCAAATAATCAATAACTACTGATTTATAGTCATTAATCTATAGTCATTTAACAATAATTACTTATCTAGTCATTTACCAACAGGCATCTCCCAACAATCACTTGTCAATAGTCATGTATTGATGATCATTAAGTCACCAATCTGTATTCACTTATCAATAATTAGGTCTACCAATAGTCACTTGATAATAATCAGCTACCAAGTCACTTATCAGTAGTCACTTCTTAATAGTCAATTACCAACAGTCGCATATCAATAATTACTTACAAGTCATCTATCAAGTCAAATGTCACTTACCAACAGTTACTTATCGTTAGTCTCTTACTAAATAACCTAACAATAGTCACTTATATATAATTATTCACCGTAGTCACTTACCAGCAATCATTTGTCAATGATCACTTGCCAACAATCACTTGTCAATATCTCATGTTGTGATACAACTGCTTTTAATGTTTTTTTCAGACTAAGCAATACTGCTTTAAATAATGAATTCTTTACTAGAGCCTGTATAGACTGGAAAGACAGGCTTGCAGATGGTGATTTTACTCCGGAAAATCAAATGAAGATTAAACAAGAAGCTGAGAAGGAACAAGCCAAAATTGACCCATGGAAGGTATGTATAATAATTTACAACCAAGGACAGAGTAGGGTGATTGTAAACAATGCATGTGATGGTTGTCATGCACACTGACACCAAGGATGCTGTATTGTTTGTTGTCTTGTACAAGACGACTGTGCTTGACACCTTGCACAGTAATTTGTTTTTATCGTGCCATGGCCGTTTTCATTCCAAGCTTTGCTTTCACATTGATGGAATGTATTACAAGTAATATGCAGCATATCCTTGCAGTGGGCGTGAAAGTGAGGCTTGGAATTGTAAAATGTGCATGCATAATAGCGGTTTGTACTCAAATTGATGTTTTTATTTCTTTTAACTGCAGGCAAAACACTTTGAACCTGTATGGGGGAAATCTACGCTACAGGAACCTGTTGCATCAAAATCAAACTCTTCATTCTTGGCAAGGACTTTACCCAGCAAGAAATCTTCAAATTTGCGGATATCTCGTGTTAATGTAACGTCATCTAAATCATCAAATTGTGTAGTTAAGAAATCTTTGTTGTCAAATGGCTCATCTCAGCGAAAACAAGCTGCAACAAGCAAAAAGACAAGTAATTCAAGTGGATATACAAAAGCTAGGGTATTTCAGAGTCCCCATCTTGTTAGAATGTTAAATGAACCGTCTGAGCTAGGAGAACCTGAAGATGTGGTTCATCAGGCTAGAACTGCTTTAAAAAGGCCTATATGTAACACACCAGACCCTTCCTCTACTTATGAGCCACCTGAAAAAAAAGTTAAGGTAACAGTTGAAGAAATTCAACTAGAAACATCTTTACAAGAGCAGGACTCTCTAGCTCAACAACCTGAGCCAGAGCCAGAGCCAGAATTAGAACCAGAACCAGAGCCGGAGTCTGAGATCAAACCATGTGAACCTATGCAATTAGAAGAATCCATTGAATGTAAGGTATCACAACCAGATATAGTTCAGTCTAGTCAACCAAAAACACCTTTACAAAATCAACAAGTTAAGCAGATCAGTCCAACCAAAAGTATTTCAACTAGTCCTACAGGACAAAAATCTGGGACTGCTTCAGCCAAAACATTAGCTCAGATCAGAGCGCATGCTACAGCAAAAGTACAAGGGCAAATGCAAACACGTACACTTGCACAGATACGAACTCAGAAGGCTGCAAAAGCCCAAGCAACCCAAGGCACTACAAGAACTCTAGCACAGATCAAAGCACAAACAAAAGCCAAACTTCAGGCACGGACACATGTACAAATGAAAGCCCGGCCAATGCCTGTGTCAGTCAATAACGATCCACGAATGCAAAGTGGAGGACTTATAGAAATTAAACCCAAACCACATCAGTGGATGAATTTGAAATCTATTGTACCAACTCATCCTACTACGTCTAAAACATTAGTTGCAGTTCCAGGACAGAATTATCCTTCAGTTACAGTGGTCAGTAATTTGGGACTTTTATCTCCAAATTCTAATGTGGTAACACTAACATCACAACCATTATTAATTACTTCCCCAGTTGTAAGCCAAGCCACTACGTCTCCTATTGTAAATAATTCTACACACGTGTTGACATCGTGTACAAATAATATGAATACTGTGTATACATCCACTGGTGCTCTCAATGAAATGACAATGGCCAAACAAGAGAATTATAATCCCAAACTTTGTGAGGATCTCAGCAGTGCTGTAGTATCGCAAGGTGAAGCTTATAGAAATGGTAGAATCAGTAACGGTACTGGCAGTACTGAAAATGACAATGCTAGTTATACATCAGAAGATGGAAGTTTATCCACTACAGAGGACGCTTTAGCTGTCAGTTTAGACGGTAGCAATAGTAGTTTTATCGCCAACGGTGCTGATAACAACACAGTATCATTATTAAATACACCGGGTGCTCAAATAATGTTGATACAAAATGATCAACAAAATGACTCTAATCAGTCCATGAGTGGCAAATGTTCGTGTCGTCTTAAAGCCATGATAATGTGCAAAGGCTGTGGTGCATTCTGTCATGATGACTGCATTGGACCCTCAACTCTCTGTGTTTCATGCCTTATTAAGTAGATGACATTTACTAGTCATACCATTTAAAAATTCTTAACAATTTCCAACTATGTCTTTACTGGCAGGAGGAACTCTTCAAATAATGGTTTATTACGACTGGATAATTTATGTAAATAAGCTTCAATAATGAAATATGTGCAAAATTAATGACCTAAATGTTTTTATACATTCTGACTTGTATCAAACCAATATTAAGACTTGAGTGCCGTCACTATGAAGACATACCCCTACATGATTATTATTTATTTAGCATGACTTCGGATTGGGAACGCCCCCAGGGAGAAGTTCTTTTGAAATTGAGAAGAAAGTGTTTTTTTTACATCAGTTGTTGATTTCAAGTCGTGCTTGTTTACAACTGATATAACTCAATCTATCTCGCTTTGTAACTCCAACTGTATAGTCAATAAATGCTGTTTTACAGTCGAGTGTTTTGTCAAACTACATGTGTATATGATTAATACATGATATACTGATTAATAATTTTATGGTTGTACCATAGGTGAATGTGAAGTTTGAGTTTGGGGGATAACTGTATTGACACTATTTTGTATAGTTATGCATAAAATATTGTCGCCAAACTGAGTGCACTATAGATGAACGACTGATGAATGGTCTGAAGGTATAGCGACATTGGCCCACCTTGGACCTTTAATAGCATTCTGATAGAACTTGTTTTTGACCCACTTTGGGATAAGACTCCCTTCCTGATTATAGTCTAGCATAGGTTTATTATATTATATATATATATATATATAGTGTATGCACTTCTATTGGGGATGTGCTTTTCATAGTGAATGTACTTCTATTTGAGATGTGCTTTCATCGAGTGAATACAGTGTATGCACTTCTATTCGAGATGTGCTGCTAATAGAGTGAATACAGTGTATGCATTTCTATTGGAAATGTGCTTTTCATAGTGAATACAGTGTAGGTACTTCTATTGGAAATGTGCTTCTAATAGAGTGAATACACTGTATTGGGGATGTGCTTTT